CATAATCTACGGCAGCAAGGAAACCAGAACAGCTCAGGCACTAGGTAAGGTGGAACTGGGGTGAGCCTACATACAGAAACAAAGGCCCTGGCAGCCCAGGAGACTGGCCAGCCGCCCACATGCAGCCTTCTCTCTCCAAGGTCACTGTGGGCTGTGTGGGAAGTTTTAGTGTTTAAGAAAATGAAATAAATATGTAGTAAAGTCAAAATTACTGTGGTGGTGGGGTGGGGTGGTGAATTCTTTAGAAAACTAGCAGAATTACCTTAAAAAAGAATGCCTTTCTTGGAGTGGGAAGTGAGGTGGATGGAGATTTCAGTTTTCTTTTATAGTATGAAGTAGCAACATCAATGACCACTGAGAGGTAAAGCTGCGGGCTGGCTGCTTTCCCATTTTACCTGCACGAGTGGGACTCGCTGTCAGCCACCTAAGCTCCCATTACTAGATGCCTTCCTTTCTCCTATACTCCTTACTGGGACTAGTTTCAAACTACAAACCTTCTTCTAATCTTTCTTCTAGTTCTTGAGTCCCTTTTGCTAGCATCCTAATTCTGTCTTCATGTTCTTTTCACGTTGGGAATTCCCAGTCTCCTGGTTGGTTTGTCCTTGCCTGCCTTTGTAATCACCTTCAACACTCCAAACTGACTACAATCCCTCCCTGCTTACAAGGATGTAATGGTTCCCGCTGTCTGAAATGGTGCAGCCTTGAGAACAGAGGATCTCGTTCTTCCTTGGAGGCTGTCCCTGCAGTGCTTTGGCCAGGTTAAACTGGTTCCTTATGGATGGTTTGTGTGCCTACGCTGCCTGCAGTGCCCCCCGCCCCACCATTATGAGTGTCCCTAGGATGCTGCTGTCTGGGGGCTCTCACTGTAACCTGCAGGCAGTATCTGTTTCCAGGTCTCTCCCCTCTAGAGTCGAAGCTCCTCTGCATAGGAACCATTTCTGACAAGAGTGCAGGGCCTCAGCTCCTGAAGATCAGGGTCAGCTCTTCCATCCCCCTGAGTTCCTACTGAGAAACTTCATGTGACGACAAGTCAAACTGAGGTCAGGAACAAGGCTGAAAGGTATAAAGGGGAGAGCTGTTATTACAGTGAAAAGTAGAAGAGTGACATTGATGTGGACCACCAGAACACTAGGCGCAGAACTCCTGCAGCTGAGACCTGAGGAGCTCCTGAGCTCCCCTTCTTCTAAGACAGCCCTCCTCAGGCCTATGATTTGCAGTCCATTCATTTTCTACAGAAAGAACTTCAGTACTGCTGTCCCTAACAATCTTTTTAACACTCAACTATTTTTCTTTATTAGAAACTGAATTTATTACCCTCAGAAGCTTGAAGATTCCTCATAGGCAGGCTCACATCTAAACGAACACAAGAGAAATTCAGCATCTTTCTATGAGTTCACTAGGTACTTAATTACAGGGGCTAAAAAGCCAGAAGAACAAAGATACCAAGCAAATCATCAAACTGTTCCAAATTACTTTTCATAATTTCCCACTGGAGAAATTACTACGTAAATGGCTAATTAGCAATCATACCCCTCTCACAGAACCAAAAGCAATTGTGCTTTATAAAGTCTCTGAATTTTTGAACAATCAAATCTCTTATCAAAATCTCTTCTCAGGTTGAATTGCTTTGCCAGTCGTGAGAAACATTTAAATGCAATGGGATCCCAGCACCAACACATGGAAGGGACAAATACTTTGTGTTTGAACTTCTTTCCCCAAAAATCTTCTAAGCATGTGAACACAACTTTGCATATAATACAATTCCATAATGCTCTTTAACAACCTGCAACAATACAGTCTAACTTAACATCTTTCCAGCAAGGCTGGGTTTTCAGTGTCTCTTAGTAGCCTATGCATTTTTGTAAATAGAGGTCTTTGAAAATACTATCAAGATTGATACACATAATTTACAATGCAGTAAAATGTACAGCTCAATAATTCCTTGCCCACAGACACATCCAAATATCTACCTTGGCACAGCTACAGAACCTTCTCACCACTCTCCACAATTCCCCTACTCTACATCCCAGCACTCTACACAACCCCAGGGGAATCACCATTCTGACTTCTGTTGCCATACATTAGTCTTGGCTGTTCATGAACTTTGTATAAATAGATCCATAGATTGGATTTGTCCCTGTTCCCTTTGCACAGTGTTTAATATTACCATTATTATATGTATCAGTAGTTCAAACTTTTTTACTGTTATGTAGTAAGTTTATTATATTTAGCAAGTCTCTTGCTGATAGAAATTTGGTTGTTATTAATTTGGAGGTAAGAATGTAGCTGCTATGGACATGCTTATAAAGTCTTTTTATGTGGACATACAAGCTCTTTCATCTGGAGTATATGCTTAAGGATAGAATGGCTAGTTCCTAAGACAGAGATATTATGTTATTAGAAACTGCCAGACTGTTTTCCTTTTTTCCTGCAAGTTGCTGCCAGTCCTTATAGGGTTAGCCTTTCTGGGAGGCATTCCTGGCATCTCACCCCCTTAAATTGCCTCTCCTGGATGAGGAGTGACACTGTTCAGAACCTTTTCAGGAAAACTTGATTTGGCTATATTAATGTTATATTTTGTGAAGTATCTTTAATTATCTTGGGGGGGGCTTTTTTTAATCAATAGATGTTCTTCACACAGAATATCAGTCCTTTGTCAGCTATGTGTCAATGGTGTCTTTTAATGAGATGTTTTAAATTTTGTTAAAGTCCATGTATCAATATTTTTTCTTTCAGAGTTAGTTCTTTCTGCATTATAAAAAAATTTTTGCAGCTCTCTGCTCCTCCCTGTTCCAGAGGCAGCTGCATCTCCTCCTGCAGTGCCAGCCTCATCGCTGAGACACCATGGTGAATCAGTTTGGCCTTATTGGGGACCTGGTTACCAGGGCTGCCTTCAACTCTGACAAAGTGGATGTTGTTGATATCAATGACCCCTTCATTGACTTCAATGGCATGGTCTACATGTGCCAGTATGATTCCACCCACGGCAAGTTCCATGGCACAGTCAAGGCTGAGAACAGGAAACGTGTCATCAATAGGAAGGCCATGTCCATCTTCCAGAAGCAACATTAAATGGGGTGATGCTGGTAGTGTGTTGTGGAATCTACTGGCATCTTCACTACCATGGAGGAGGTTGGGGCCCACTTGAGGGGTGGAGCCATAAAGGTCATCTCTGCCCCTTCTGCTGATGCCCCCATATTTGTGATGGCCACAAACCACAAAAAATACAACTCCCCCAAGGTTGTCAACAATGCCTTCTGCATCACCAACTGCTTAGCCCCCCTGGCCAAGGTCGTCCATGACAACTTCAGCATTGTTGGGGGACTGATGACCACAGTTCATGCCATTACAACTACACAGAAGACTGTAGATGGCCCCTCCAGGAGACTGTGGTCTGACTGGGTCTGACCTGCCACCTAGAGAACAGTGCTAATTAGGATGACATCAAGAAGATGGTGAAGCAGGCATCGGAGGGCCCCTTAAAGGGCATTCTGAGCTACACTGAGAACCAGGTTTTCTCCTGTGACTTTAACAGTGACACCCACTCTTCTACCTTTGATGCTGGGACTGGCATTGCTCTCAACGACCGCTTTATCAAGCTCATTTTCTGATATGATAACAAATGTGGCTACAGGAAAAGGGTGGTGGATCTCATAGTCCACATGGCCTCCAAGGAGTAAGAAGCCCTGAACACCCCCCACCCCAAGAAGAAGGGAGAGGCCCTTGGCTGGAGGTCCCTGCCCCAACTCAGCCCCCAACACTGAGTATCTCCCTTCACAGTTTCCAACATAGACCTCCAGAAAAAGGAGAGGGGCTCAGGGAGCCCTACTCTCTTGAATACCAAAAATTTTTGCCTACGCACAACTCATGAAACTATCATCTCTTATCACTTCCAAGTGCTTTATAGATTTAACTTTGATGTTTGGGCCAAAAATCCACTTTAATTATTTGTGTATGCTGTGAAGTAGTCATCAGGCTGTTTTCCTTATTCATGTAGACATTCAGAACTTACTTGTCAGCAGAATAAATATTGCAATTCTTTTCAAATATTTTTGTACCTCAGAATGGTTAAAAATGTCCATTTATATCTTAATCTAGGTGACAGTTTCTTCAATGTCACTTGATCATCCCATAATATCATTTTATTAGGCCAGCAAGATGGCTCACAGTGGGTCAAGGCACTAGCTGCCAAGCCTGACAACCCGAGTTCAACCCCAGGACCTGCATGATGGAAGAAGAGAACTGACTCCCACATGTTGTCATCTGACTTCCACACATGTGCCATGACATGCTTATATTCCCCACAATAAATAAATATAAAAGAATTTTTAAGAAAATTATTAAGGGTCAAGTGGGCAATTCATTCTGGACAAATAAATTATATTTCCAGTTTCACCAATATGTAGTTCATTTATTAGTTCAAGAACTCCTTTATACAAAATTAATATATGATCATTATGTAAATTATAAACAAATTTTGTTTTGTTTTCCTTTTTACATTTACTTACTTATCTGTGTGTGTTGGGGGCTGCCACTTTGTATGTGTGGAGTTCGTGAGTTCCTTCCACCGTGTGGCTGAGCCATCTCAGCAGCCCCTAGTTTTGTTTTTGAGACACAGTATCACAATGTAGTCCAAGCTGGCATTGAAATCTTGATCTTCCTTCTTCAGCCTCTCAAGTGCTAATATTATAAGCATGTGCTACCAAACCTAGCTTGAAAATTTTTACTATAATTTTAAAACAATTTTATTGAAGTTGGTTAAACTTTTTATGGGAGTGTACTATTATAAGGACATTATAAAGTCAGAATAAGTATACAATAAGTATTTTTGACTGGGTAAATTGGGCATTAGTTAATAATCATAATTAATATAGCAATTAATTCAGGCTTAAGTAGAAAAGGATTATAAAACCAAAACAGAAAACAATATAGAAAAATTTTAATCTCAGAGATTAACTTTTATTCCAATGGCTTGTTTAAATTCATGATTTTGTGGTTCCAAAATATCATAGAAAACTTGTTTTTTACTAAAATGGTCTCGAATATAAAGTAAATCTTCAGTGGAATAGTTATCATCTTTTCCAGTCCAAATAGTCAGGCTGTATCTGCATTAAAATAAAACAAAATTATACAGTTAAAAGTGAAAGATAAGAAACTGATGAACAATTCCAACAAGCCTAAAAATACTCTCATTAGGTGCTAAACCAAATGCATAAATGAAAAAAATTGATTTTTATGGTATAAGCACACTTCCCTATTTCATTCCTTCACCAACATCAAAGAGACAAGAGAGAAAGCCAATTCCCACTGCGACCATCTGAGTTATGTAACTGCTGTGTTTGAATTACAGGAATGTTAAAATGGCTTAGAAGCCCAGACTGGTAGCACTGGAAATGAGTCAAATTTTGTAAAAAGGAGCTGGAGAGAGACTTTGTTGTTGATTAGAGAGAGAGTCTGTTCACCAACATAAACACACACACACACACACACACACACACACACACACACATACCGGGTATGCTTAAGCAGCCTGGTCAGAGTGAAAAGCATGATGGGAAGAGATTGTGAAGTGATACAAGTACCATTGTCATTTCCAACATTCAGCCACTTATGATGGCCAGCCCACTGTCCCTTTTGGGGTTTGTCTATGAAAAGAAAGACTGCCAAGAGATGTCATTAAGAATAACACACAGACAACCTACCGGCCTCTCTCCTGGGTAAGTCCAATGGCGCCCTCCGTGCCTTGACTCCTCCAGCCTCATTCCCACCTCTCCCACCAGTCTCTCCTCCTAGCCTGGGTACTGTCCCATTCCTTGTCTTGGCACCCCAGACACCTGGGGAACCACCACTGCTTCCTGATCCTTTGCATCCAGACCAACCTAGTTCCTTTTTTGTGGTCCCCAGGAGCCCTCTGGGCCTGGTCCCCACCCTAACCTCCCTCTGCTTTACTGGGCTGCACAACCCACCAGCCTCTTTCCTGGGTAAGTCTGTTGGTGCCCACTGGGCCTTGATTCCCCCAGCCTCATTCACTCTCCCAACTCCTGCATCCCATCTCTCCTCCCAGCCTGGGTACTGCCCCATTTCTTGTCTTGGTACCCCAGACACCAGGGCTGACCTCTCTGCTTGGAGCCACCACTGCTTCCTGATCCTTTGTACCCAGACCAACCCAGTTCCTCCCTGCAGTCCCCAGGAGCCCTTGGGGCCTCTACCCACCCTCAGTTCCCTTTGCATCCCTGGGTGGCACAGCCAAGAGCTGCCTGAGCTGCCTGAGACCAGCATCTTTCCTGGGCCCTGCCCCCAGACCAGTCCAACCCCCAAATTCCTGAGGCCAAAATCATTCCTGGAGGGATCCAGACCTTAGGAGAAAGCCTCAGAGCATCTAATCCTCATCTGACTTGGACCTCTGTGGGAACTCCTGAAAACAAAAGCAATCTGGCCAATCCAATACAAAAATCAAAAGAGAGAACTGGAAGCTTAGACAAAACAGCTGTTCATGCCCAAAAAGTAAACCACAAAGCCATATAAAGTTTACAAAAAGAAGCAGACCTAAACTTGAAGGCTTGAGTCTCACACAAGAATCAGAAACTACAAAAGAAATTCACATCAAAATCATAGAGAAAAAATAATAACATGAAAAACCAAAATAACATATTCCCACCAAATA